CCAAGGACAAGTTGTTTGATACATTCTTGAAGAAAATACCGGAGGGAAAGACATTTACCCCTTTCCCTGACTGAAACATAAAGACAACCCTTTTCCTGACTGAAACAAAATCAGATAGGAAAAGCTGCAGGCAGGCCCTAGAAGGGTAGGGCTCAGTTCATCACAGTGACACAGATCCTGACTTTGGCAGTCATTTTATTATGAAGGGCACTTGGGATCAATGATGGTGCTTAAAATTCATTTTTAAAAAAATCTTACATAGGGATAGATGAAAGAATTTTCATGAGGCAGGACCAGCTCAGTTGGGTACCAGCTGACTAGATTAATAAGGGAAAGCTTCCTCTCCAGGGTATCTTGAGGTGATTAGGTGTTTCTTCATCAGTGGAAGAGTTGCTCTTCATCAGATTTAGCTGAGGTTAGACTGCTACAGCAGGTGATCTGTATTTCTGGATGGAGCTGTGGTGCACAGCAGAGCAGCCCAGATGCCCTGGCAAGCCAGGGGAATGTTCCAAGGAGCTCAGAGCTCTGTCTTCAGTTTCTCATGCAAGTCTTCCTGGTCGATCTTGTCCGTGTTCCCATACCACTGGTGGTAAGCAAGCAGTGCTGCGTTTTTGGCTGCTATGGCACTCATCTCCATGGCACTGGCAGCACACTCGATGCCGTTGAGGTAGTATATCCTGTCGTGGAGGATCACGGGTGGGCATTTTTCAGGGGGGCTGTAGTGGGGGTATGCCAGCCACTTCTTCTCTTTCACAGAGGCATAGGAAGAGAAAAGCAAGTTAAGCTGCTCCTTGGTGAGTGGTTCCTTTGAAAATACCTTCCAGACAGCTGATTGCAAGGGCAGCTTTTCTTCGCTGGGTCTCCCTTCAACAGGAGATACCACCCCCAGGCTGTTGATGAACAGTTTGGGGTTCTCTGTAGTGAAGATATCACTCAAATGAAAGGCAGAGGGGTCGTGGTAGCCAAAGAAGGAAGCATTTAAGCGCCCATGCACAAATGTCGCTATAGTCTGGTGGTAAGGATGTGGAAACTCTGGAATAGGAGGGTTGAAGTTCCTAAAGGTGATGTTGGACATTTTGTGGTTTAGTGGGGTTGCAATGACAACAATATCATACATTTCTGCTGACTGTCCCGATGTAGAGTTGTAAGTGACGTAGTACAGATTCCGTGTGCCCCCTAGGGAGAAAAAAGCAAGAGGGGAGAGAGCTCAGTGCCCTGTTTCTAATTCCATTCCATTCAGGCTACTTGAAAATGCTTGAGCTCACAAGAACGTACAAATAATACAAGTTTAGCTGACTAAGCATCTAAGACCTTGAATGGAGCCCAGCTTTCAATTTAAGAGACTAAATACAACAACTCCGGGCTAGGAATGGACTTATGGAGCTGTCACTGCCTGGCTCTAGCTCCCACCTGACTAAAGTATCTGATCTGGTAAAGTATCTGATACTGATAAAGTATCTGGTCCCAGCTGACAACTCTCCCCCACCCCATCAGAAAGTGAAGACAACTCACCTGCAGGATCAGGTCTTTGTTTTGGCTCTATGGACAGAACTGTGCCAGAAATAAGCTGTGCTTTGGCAGCATAGATAAGGCCATTGCAGACAAGTTTATTTCCTCCCTTGACACCCCAGACGCCAGGTGCCACCCCTGTCAGCGAAATAAAACCTACGAGGAAAGCAAGACCATTAAACGTGCTTGTGCAGTGCCATTCTGTAGGGGAGCACTTAGAACAGGAATGGGAAGTTAGGGGGAAATACTCCACTGGGATATGCAGCTTGCTTGAGCACAGGGCTCACCAGGCCACAGCGGCCACCAGTTGTTGGTCAGAGTAACCCAGCAAGGGAGGGCCCTGCTGAGCAGCAGCAGGAGAGACTTTGGCCAAAGGGAGCAACCAGGCTGCTGCCAAGATCTGCCCAAGCTCTGGGAGCAAGAACCCCAGCAAACACATGTGCCACAGGGTCCCTAGGACAGATGCCTACCTGTTTCACCTTGCAAGGGGGAGACACTCTTCAACACTCACCTACAAAAGCATTCATGTTGACTCCTTGCCCATAATTGACTCTCATGACTGGACAAATCACTTCATTTATGAACTTATGGGAGAAGCCAGCTTTCTGCATGGATTCATCAAGGGTTTGGTTCACCATCTGGGCAAAGTCATTCCCTCCAAGGGCATGAAGTAAGCGCTCGTTACTGCTGAAGGTATAGTCGTGCGTCTGGTAGCGATAGATTCTTGGGCCAGAAACAAGGAAACACATTCAGGGCAGTTGCAGAACAACACATGCACTAGGCAAGCCCCTCAACTTGATAAGATTATAAGTTTCAAATGCTAGTTGATTATCTTTGTTCCTGTCACTGGCTGCCAGCAAGAAGAGTTTGGCCCCATCCTCTTTACATTCGCTCCTCGGGCACTTGTATATATTGATAGGATCCCCTCTATCTTATTTTCTCCAGGCTAAACAGGCCCTGCTCACTTAGCCTTTCCTCATAACATAGATGCTCCAGTCCCTTGATCATCTTTGTTGCTCTATGCTGGATGGACCGTCTAGAGAAGCTCCACGTCCCTCTTGTCCTGGGGAGCCCAGAACTGCACCCAAAACTCCAGGTGCGGCCTCACCAGAGTTGAGTAGAGGGGAAGGATCCCCTCCGTCAAACTGTTGGCGACATTCCTCCTGGTACAGGCCAGGATCCCATCGGCCTTCTTGGCCACGAGAGCACAGGGCTGCCTCATGGTTGACCAGGACTCCCAAAGCCCTCTCTGCGGAGCTGCTTTCCAGGAGGTTGTCCCCTAATCTGTGCAGGTGCCTGGGGTCATTCCTCCCCAGGTGCAGGAGCCTGCACTTGTCCTTGTTGAACCTCATGAGGTTCCTCTCTGCCCAACTCTCCATTCTGTCTAGGTCCCTCTGAATGGCAGCGCATCCCTCGGGAGTGTCGCCCACTCCACTCAGTTTGGTAGCATCCACAAACTTGCTCAGGGTGCACTCTGTGCCCTCGTGCAAGTCTTGTCCCCCTTGCTCAACTTCTTTCTTGTAGGAATGCACCGATCCTGAGCTTGGAGAAAATAGTGCTTGAATATTAGCCAACTCTCCTGGAGCCCCTTTCCTTCTAGGACCCTGGCCCAGGGGATTCCTCCAAGGAGCTCCCTGAAGAGGCCTCACATTCCAGCTGCCCTCTCATGTAAAGAGCAACTCCGCCACCTCACCTTCCTTTCCTGTCCTTCCTGAAAAGCCTAAAGCCACCCATGGCCACGTTCCAGTCATGACAGCTGTCCCACCATGTCTCAGTAACTGCAATGAGATCATGGCCCTGCAATCGCACACGCATCTCCAATTCCCCTCGTTTATCCCCATGCTCCATGGGTTTCAATCAAACCTGGCTCTCTTACAACAAACCTGCCTCTCTTACCGCATAAACTTGTACA